CTGCGGGCGGCCGGGGCTGGTTCATCTCCGCCTCTCGCTCCCAAAGCAGGCGCTGACAGCTGTTTTGCCCCGCAGATTTGCTGCCCGCCAAGAACGGCGAGGAGCAGACCATGCAGTTCCTTCTGGAGGTGGTGGACATCCTCCTCAACTACGTGAGGAAGACGTTTGACAGATCAACCAAGGTGCTGGACTTCCACCACCCGCACCAGCTCCTGGAGGGCATGGAGGGCTTCAACCTGGAGCTCTCGGACAACCCCGAGTCCCTGGAGCAGATCCTGGTGGACTGCCGGGACACACTGAAATACGGAGTGAGGACAGGTAGGTTCTCGCACACTACTCTGGAGAAAAGCCCTCCTGGGGCTTTTCTCTGGCCCACGGTGAAGGGAGGGGGCTTGGTCCCACTGAGGTAAGCCCGCACCCTCTCCACGCCCTCGACTCTGCCTCCCTGGAGGTTCCGCTGCAGGGCCGTCTGCAGGCGCTGGAAATGTCTCTGCTCAGAAACGTCCGTAGTTGACGCTCCATCCGTCCCCGGCGGGCAGGGCGCGGTGCTGTTTGCAGGGCCCAGAAACAAGTTTTTAAGACGTAATCTCTTTCACTTGATGAAATGCGAGCTGTCTGTATCTCCGGGGAGCAATATCATTAGGTAAATGAGGGCATAAATGACACTGAATTTGCAGTTTTTCTTCTTTATGTTCACCAGACGTTTAATGAAAAAGAGACTGAAATCCTAGGAATCATCAATAAAGGAACCCTGTGGATTTCAGCCCGTTACCCAGGAGCCCCGCCTGTTCAGGTCCTTCTGAATCAGATGGAAATGCCCGTTTATAATCACTTCTTTTACTGGGTGAGCTGTAGCCAGGCTCTAGACCGAAGTCTGTGCTCTTTCAGGCTGTTTGGCCCGAAATGTTTTACATTTGTATCAGCAGAAAGCTCGGCCGGCAACAAGCCTTGACTGCTGTACGTACCCAAGCAGGTCAGGAACTGGAGCGATAACGGAGCGGGGGCCGTGTCTCGCCTCCCCAGTCCTGCTCCAGCGTTTCAGGGCCGCTGGGCTCTGCCCGGCGAGCAGCCCGCTCGGCTCGGCTCGGCTCGGCTGGGCTCGGCGACCTCTGCTGCCATGGCGGGCGGCGGTCTCCCCGCTGAAGTGGCGGGGCGGGGGGGGGGGGTAGAGGGGGGGGAGGCTTTTGTCTGACAGCCTCTGGGTAGGCAGCTGCGAGCAATGGCTCCTGAAGGACGGGGCGCTGCTTTCTCCACTCTTCAGTTGTGCGGCTGTGAAAAACCAACGCGGTGCGTTCAGGGAACAACATCTTGACAACTGTGGCGGGGGGGGGCTGCATCATCTTGACACCTGTGGCGGTTAGCTTCCTGTCTTTTCCCATTTACATGGTAGTTTGATTTACTCAAGAGCGTCAGGGGCATATTTTGATTTTGTGCCCTTAATCGAAGGGGAGCGTATTTCGCTCCCAACCCCGTGGGTTGTTGAACGGGTGGCCAGCAGCAAAGCCAGTCACTGCGGTCTGCGTGCTTGCATCGTTATTTCACTATCGATCGCGCCGGGACGTCGAGCAATCTCTCCCCCTCACCCCGACCTCCCCTGGAGCTTTTGCGGGACCGACAGGACCTCTCCCCGGGAGCTGAGATGCAGGTATCCGATCAGACACGAGCTCTGTTCAAAGCAGTACCTGGTGCAGCTTTAAAGAAGAGCTGCTCGGACCGTGTGACGACCCAGGACACACGCCCTGGCTTCCCGGGCCCCAAGGGCTCACGTTCTCTCTCCAGGCGAAGCTCCCTTTAAAGCCAGCGGGGCTGAATCTGCAGCCCAGCCTCAGGAGACCGCCGGCTCGCTGACAGCTTTGGGAGGTCAGCGAAATGTCTCTTAAAATAACTTCCCAAACTCTGTGTCATGGCAAGGGAGAGAAGTGCTGATTTGCAAAGCAAATATCTAAGCCATGGTGATATTTCTGGACTTTAGCCCTGAACCGCTTGGTTCCCCGGGGCGGGAGCAGCCCGGTCGCTTCGCCTCCGTGTTCCCCCAATTTCTGCGGCAGCCTCCTCTTCAGGATGTGCCGAGACGTGGCAGCGCCGGCAGGCTCACGCCTCCAAAATGTTCCCAATGACATCGCTCGGAGCAGAATCGCATTTATTTCTTTATGTCAAAAGATGCTGATGTTCCCAGTGTTGAGCCAAATGCGACGTGACAGGGTCCCTCCGGGCGTCGAGCGCTGAACCCTCCTCTCGGGCTGGGCTGTCCCCAGTGTGTTATCGGCGTGTCCTTTCCCAAGAGAGCGGAGTTAAGGGCTAAATCGTGACACCTTCCCCCTCCCCTCAAAGCCCGTCATCATTTGTTAGGAATTTAATCTCTTCATGCTGGAAAAGTAGACCCCCAATAGCCGGGCTTATTGCGTATAAAAGTTGTTAAAGCAACCTTGGCTGAAATACAGGAATATGATTGACTTCGGTTTGATAGCAAAGCCTTTGTTTATGAGGTGAACCCTAGCTTTTAAACCACGGGGGGGAACCGCCCGTACCGAGGGGCTCTTGGGGGGCTCTCAGCGACCCGCGGCAGCGGGTCCCGGCAAACGGG